GAGGGGGAGGGGAAGTAGGGGAATGCTGGAGGGTAGAAATGAAAGTTGGAGGGGGAGAAGAAAGGGTGTATGGAGGATTGAAGTGTTGGTTTTTTATGGTGGAATAGAAGATGAGTTGTGTTTATTGTTTTCTTAATTGCACAGTATATAAGTGATTGTACAAAATGAAAATGAAAATGAAATAAAACAGTTAATACAGTGAAAAAAAATATCATAATTTTCATAGTAGTATGCAAATGAATTCAGATCTGTTACCACAATTTAAGATGGTAAAGTAGGAAAGTATTATGAAATATTTCCCATAGCAGGAGATGGAGTCAGTAATCTCAGTAATCTTAATATAGCTGCATAATACAAATGGCCTGCAGAATAGTGAAAAATTAAGTATTTTTCCAAATGATGGCAAAGTCTTCATATAAGTAGGTTTTGTTTTATTTAAATTTCATTTAAATAAGCTTTTTGATATATTTTATTGTTCTCTCCATTTCATACTTGGTTGGATTTGTTCTTTATTTCTCCTGCATTCTTTAAGTGTTTTTCACTGTTTCCTCTTGTAGAGTTCGTCTGAAAACAGATCTTCCAGCATCCAGGGAGTTCATACAAGTGTACTTCAAGGGTGTTAGCACTAATTCATTACAGGCTGTGACAGCCTTGGTCAGACTGTTCAATAGAGTTTAGGAATAACCCCAAGTTTCTTCAAGAATATAAAGGTTGGGTTGACCAATCAAACAGACTCTTCTTCTCTGCAGGAGTATTACTTAACCTTAGCAGGGGTGTCAAATTCGACCACGTCACGCACTGGATTGTGACATATCATAATGTTTTTTGCTTTTGCAGAGCCAGGGTGGGCGCCAGTTTGATAGGCCTGCCCTGTAGGGATAAAATGTATTTTATCAATTTATATGTTTTTTTTTTAGAGTGGAAAACTTGTTACAAAAATGTTTCAGAAGATTCAAGAATTAATTGATGACAAAGATGCCCTTGTATTTGTACTTATTGATGAGGTATGATTATAATAGTACTTCAATATTAAAAATTGTTTGCACTAGATAGTGTTTATACTATATCACCAGTATGCGTATTACAAAATTCTATGTCTTTTTTTCTGTCAGAATCCAAGCTAGGCTGTATGAAGGAAAAGAAATCAGATTTTAATTCATGCAGGGGTAATTCTAAATCCACCTGTGCTTTTTATGGGTTACATTTACCATTCTTTAAATCCTCAGGTTAAAGTCTGAATATGCTCATGATTCTGCCTGTGTTTGTTTGTAAATTTATATACATACACACCTATTCATTAAGACATTACATCAGATATATTTTCATAATATATATTTTAATCTGAGTTCTAGTTTATATTCATAGCACAGATTCAAGGCCACTCAGAATGACTTATGGCAGCTTGCAAGTAAAAATAAATTCAGTTCAATTTAGACACTGACAGGCTGCAAACTAATTTTGAATGGCTTACAGTAAAACAAAAGACCCACAATTATGATTGAAAAAAAACAAGACGTCAACTGTAGTCAACAACATTCATGCATACAAATATATTCATTATCCCCTCCCTCTAACCACCTAGCCCATGGCCTGGAGAAGAGCCAGCTTTTCAGAAAACCAACAGGGTGAACCACACAGGCCCCTCCACTCCACAAAGGAGGCACTGGCAGTAAAGTCTACCCTGTAACCCAACACTGATTGTGTTCCAAAAGAAAAGAAGAGAATCACCATAAAATACCTGGAGCCAATTCAAAAGAATATTGTATATCAAAAGCCACCGAGAGATCAAGGTGCACAAAAATTGATTCACTAGCTCCTGCCTATCTCCACATCTCTCCCCTTTACACTGCTCTGTGCAACATGGCTAAGATGGCTACTGAATTCTGCTGTTGTCCCATCACTGTCTTCAGCTGAACTTCACCTCCCCCCACTTCCCTTCCTTGTCTTCCCAGGCCAACCCTAGCCTAGTCTGGAGACATGATCTCTCCAATAGCTGATAACTGAAATTTCCCCTTTTTATAAATTCCTAAAACACAAAAGCTTCCAACTCTCAGTGTCAACTGGTGCTCCAGGAGGATATCATGCTTAAAACTATCATGCTATGGGGTGTGACAGGAAGGGATGTATTTTTTCCATCCAGTTCCTGTTTAAAATCATTGACAAGAATAATCAATGGCCTTTTCATCCCAAGCCTAGATTTGAGTTTAGGCTAAAAGGAGTCTAAATAATATCACTCCATCTTTAAGGCACTCTGTTGCTGACTTAGAAAGAAAAGATAATTTTCTAAATGTTTTAGCTCCAAGAAAGGTTTCTTGAAGAAGGCCTATCACTTCCACTTTAGAATAACAACATTCTGTCACTCAAGAAACCATTGACAATCTTCCAGAGCTAGGCTGCTACATTCTTCCAAGCAACCCAGAAGAACTAAGAGAAGAATGAAATTAAACTTACATATGGCAGATGCAGAGCTTCTGGCTAAATACTGCTTTAATTGCAGTCTGGCTTAAGAATCAGATGTGCAGGCTGGGGTTTACCTCAAGTGAAATCATTGTGCAGGGCCACGTATCATCAATGACAAAAGTCTTTAATCAGGTTCACTGATAAATCAACCGTATCTTCTCCCTGGAAAAAAAAAAGAGTTTTAGGCATTTTGCTCTACATCCATCTGCATTAGGGTTTTTTCTTTTATTCAGTGATGGCTAGATTTTGTAAGTTTATGGCCCTAGCCAATGTACAAATTTTATATAAATTTTTAGAAGACATGGAATTACTAAACTAATCACAAAATTTGGTCATTTAACAACAAAAGTATGACATTTCATTTAGTTTTGGGATAAGGAGAGAGTCATAATATTAGTAATGATAAATTGAATAGATGTGATTATTTTACCATTTCTGTTTTACAGTGAACTATTTTCACTACTAAATTTCAAATTTGGACTTGGCATACAACCAGCAGGAAAATAACTCGAAATAAAGAATGCTATCTATGTGACTGATATAAATATCAAGATATAAATTAATTACCGGAAAAGTTTGCTTTGTTCTTTGCAAAGCTTCCCAAACTTAAAAATCTTAAAGGCGGGGGGAGACATTTTTTAGTTTTGACATTTGTGTGATCCCAAAATTTCTTTTCTATTTCTGTTTCATTTTTTTTAATTTTACTTTATTTTAAACAATATATGGTTTTCCAACTCCATCAAAGTAAGTGTGGGCAAAAAATAAATTCAGCAAAACCATTTGGAGGTCAAGGTTTTTCTCTGCTGAATTTTCAGGCAGCAAAGTTTTTTTTTTTTTAAGAAAACTTTTTTAGATGTTCAGTGTCTTTTAATTACAGTAATATATACTATAGTAAATTTTATTTATTTATTCTGGGGCAGAAAGAATAGAAATGGCACATTGTTTAAAACAGGGCTGTCAAACTCCAGGCCCACGGGCTGGATGCGTCATGCACTGGCCATGCCTACGTCTGGTTTAGCGAAAAGGGGAAAAAAGTCTCCACGTGACGCCACCATGACAATGTGAGTTTGACACCCCTGGTTTAAAAGTTCAGGCAGAACTCTTTTTAAAAAATTGCTATACTAAAAATATGAGGTAGCAACCTTTTTTTCTTTTGCAGGTGGAAAGTCTCACAGCTGCTCGTAGTGCTTTTCAAGCAGGTACTGAGCCTTCTGATGCCATCCGTGTTGTAAATGCTGTACTTACACAAATTGATCAGATCAAAAGGTAATCATTAATCATTAGCATTTATTACAAAAGATTAAAAATAAAATAGGATTATCTGGAAGCAAGATAATATTCCTTCTTTCACAGAAACTTTTGAAAAGAAATCATTATAATTTAGAGAATATATATAATTATTACTTAATTATACTGAAAATGAGTGGCTTTGATTGATATAATTATCCTATCCATTATGTTCAATTATATAATTTTTTTAATTAGTATTAAACAAAAGCACTAATTTTCAGAGTTGATTTAAAGTTGTCAAACCTCATTTGCTCCATAACCGAGTAGTAATTTGTTGTGTAGGAATAATGAGAAGTATTATATACTCAAACAATTTCTTGAGGAATGAAAACTTGTCTTGTGTTAAAAAATTCTGTGTTCAAAATGGCTGCAAAAGTTGATAGAGTTAGCAGAGATGGCAAAATTGATTGCTCTGATTAAAGAAGAGAAGATAATTTGTTTCTACCTGGACACTGCTTTTGGACTTTGAATAAAACTTTGATTTTGGGTTTTGCTGTTTAGATAGATTTATTGTTATAGAAATGGCTAGTATAGATTATATAAATGCAGGGTGGATTTAAATCAAGTAGTAAAAAGGCTTGATTTAAATCAACTCAATTGAAATCAAAAATTTTAAAGAGCAACTGATATATCTGTCCTGCAGTGGCTCCTCCTCTGACTCACTGTTGATTCACCGACAGTCCCATTCACTTTAATAGGATGGCTGGTGATGCAGCAGTGACACAACAAGGTGAGGGATATGGCAGGCAGCAAGTTAGTGAATGCCCATTAACAGATGCTGCCATGATGGATCTGAAATGACAGGTGCTCTTTAATTTTTTATTTATAAGCTGCTTAGAAGGCTTTACTTTCATTTTTACTACTTGCCTTTTCTCCTCACCTTTTTAGTCTGGTGGTACAGATGCATTTCTCTTCAAAAAATCATAAAGTTTGTAGTGTAATAGATTTGTAAAATGATGGGATAAAGCGTTATCCCTGAACTGTGTTTTATGATTTATTTCATTGTTACTGTGAAATTGGATGAATGCATTAATGCAGTGCATGTTAAGTGCCAAGCTCAGTTTGCAGAACTTGGATTCATTGTATGAGTTTACAAAAAATGTAAATATTGCAGAATATACAGACTAATGTTACATAACTAAGTTCCATTTCATGCTGAATAAACTAAATTATTAATGTATCTTAAATAGAAAATTATCTTTAGATAGATTTTACTCCAAAAGCATTTTATAAATTATATATTTTATAAACATAAAATAAATTTGATAAAAATAAAAAATCCAATTTGAATTAAAAAATCTGATTTAATTTTTTAATCTGAGTTATTTTTATTAAATCATCAATTTTTATCCATCCTGTATAAAAGTAAAAAGTTGAGATTTTTTGTTACTCCCTTATTCTACTGATCAAAAGGACTCAGAATTCAATGTGTCTTTTTCTTTTCCCTCCTACCCTACACTTTTTTCTCTGACCCTTTTCCTCCCTTATTTTCCCCTTATTTTCATTTTTCTTTATATTTCTGTATTTTATATTTTGATAAACTAATAAAATATTTGAAGTAGAAAAATGTATGTATTCCTTAAGTATATGAAGTGACACTCTTGCAATTGTGATTTTAAAGGTATCCTAATGTGGTTATACTGACGACTTCAAATATCACAGAGAAAATTGATATTGCTTTTGTAGATAGAGCTGATATTAAACAATATATTGGGCCACCTTCTCCTGCAGCTATATTCAAAATCTATCATTCTTGCATAGAAGAACTAATGAAGGTAATTTCAGTATTCTTAAAATACTTACAAGTATAATTCTTATCCTTGAAGAGATTGTATTTAAATAATTTTTATTTTTATTCTTGGTAATATATTTTTCTGTGTATTTAATTTTCACACGGAAGCAATGCCTATTCCTTTTTAATAACTTCTTTGCTTTGAATATTGTCTTTATATTTATTGAATTGGTAGTTAGCACCTTTTAAGTAACTGATTTTTAGCTTTATATACATTTTTTGTAAATAAAAACTTTTTTTCCTGAAGTGCCAAATAATATATCCCCGTCAGCAACTGTTAACACTCCATGAGCTAGAAGTGATTGGTTACTTAGAAAACGACGTGTCAAAATTAAGTCTCCTGTTAAAAAATATTTCAAGGTATATATCAGTGCTTAGTTTTGCTTACTTTTTGTTTTGTTTTATGCTTCTTTGTGATTATTGTTCGATAAGCTCAAACACTGTTTCCAGAATCGAATAGCCAAGACCTCAGATTCCAGATAATGCCAATTCTGGCATACCAACCTATGTCTTTTCTACATAGATAGGAAGTATTGGTAAATATAAGTCTGGAAGAAGCCCAAGTCACAAGGTGTAGCACCATCTGATAATGGTACCATCTGAAACAAATAACACCTCTGTTTGGCTAGATACAGCTTCATTTCATTCAGACCATAACAGCCCCCAAGCACTGGATCAATTCTTCCACTGGGTCTCCAGCATGACTGGAGTAGAGATGGAAAGCTGTATTTCAGTGTCCACCTTTAGGTCTGGAGCCATATAGTACCTGGGAAGAACATTTTTCAAAAACAGAACTCAGGAAAGCTTTGCCTCTGAGATAAACAAATGGATCTTTGTGATAATGCCAATAAAAGTTCCCTTTCTACTGTAGAAAGTTCCCTTTCTACAAATTCATGAGACAAACGATCTTGTAGACTCTTCCCCCAACAATTAAAAAACAATTGAAAAACTGACACATTTTGTGATACTTAGCTATTTGTAAGCTAGGGGAAGGGATGCCTTTGAATCAGACTGATTCCTGGCAACTGTCTGGATTAGTTTCTGCAGGGGATTATGACATTTTTCAGAAGTGGTTTGATATTGCCACCTTCTTAGGGCTGAGAGAGTGACTGGTCCAAAGTCTGCTGGTGCGTAAGGTTGGGCTAGAACTCATAGTCTCCTGATTTCTACACTGATACTTTAACATTATACTGACTTTCTAATGATTTTTTCTGTCTCATAATTATTTCCGATTAAATATTTAACGTACAGCATAGTATCGATGAATCCTAGTTAACATACCTGATTTTTCAGAATATAACTTTTCTAGACCAGGTTGAATGATAAATACTTTTTATTGATAATCAGCAGTCAAATGTTCAGCATTTATCTCAAGTTGCCCATCCTATCTAGATTATAATCAAATTTGGGCAAGATTCTTAGGTATTAATATTCTCATTTGTCCTAATGAGAAGGAGTAATAGAATTGGATGTTTATAATACTGTATTTTAATACTCTAAATGAACATTTTCATAAATGTCATGTAGCTATTAAATAACAAAATGAGATTGAACCTTAGTCCAAAGGCTATGCTAATAAGCAATCCTTTTCAGGTACTACATCCCAAAGAAAATCCACTAATACTCCACAGTTCAGTGCCCTCTACATAAAATCCCAAGAAGTCTATTTTGGAACAAAATTACAAATTTTTTACTTTAGGTAACAGTTGGAATAAAACTTAATGCTATATATCTTTTTCCTCTAGATATATAAAATTGTTTGAGGATCAATTCTGGCTGCCTTTTTCCATTTTATAAACATACTTTTATTGTTGTTAACAGTAGAAAAATACTGTTCTCATCTCTGGCTCTTGCTTGAAACCTCTTCCTAACGTACTTTGCATAAGTGTATTTCTGCATTTTCAGGACAATTTCTCAGCAAAATCTAGAAAAAAATGCCAGAAAGTAATATATTTAGGTACATTCAGTACTCTGAAAGCTAAAAACTGAATGCACACTGACAGTTCATTTTTGTTCAAAAAGAAAAAGCAATACCTCTGCAACAATAAAAAACATCTGATATTTCTGAAGGACAGATTTAATTCCTGGAGCATTTATTTACAACATCCACTGTTTTGACTCCTATTTAAATTTTAAGAGTTTACAACCTAGAAGTATTTATTTTAAAAGCTGAGAAATTGATGAGCTAGTTTATAAGTGATTATACTAGAACTTTTGAAATAGAAACAGAATATTTCAAAATTAAGAATGCTTTGCAAAGTTCTGAAATATTTTGTATATCCTTAATAGAACAAAGCTAGATTATGCAAACGTGTTAGGGTAGTAAAATCATTACGGTACTTTAGTATAAATAGTATATTTTGCTGGCCCTAATAGGTTTCTTGTTACTGCAACTTACTTGGTGAATGCTAGAAAATATTTTTTTTTAAACAAGAAAGGGCAGGTTAAAAAAACAATAATCCAAACCTGGGGCCTGAAAAGAGAAAATATTTCTATAAATCACAAAATATATCCTCAAAATTTATTTTGAATTTGGAAGCTCAAGAAGTTGTGAGTAATATGAAGGTATATACTTAAAAAATGTGTAATCTGATAGAAAGTTAATTCAGTCAGATGAGATCCTATTCCAATATATAATAAAACAGAAAAATATTACCAATCGAGCAAACAAGGCTCACTGTCCAATAGCAAGTTGGTTCAATATGTATTGTGTCGTGAAATTTATTCCAATTTCTTTATATGCTCATACTGACAAAAATTAAACCTAATGCATAACATATTTCTGCTTATAGGAAAAGTGAAGGACTTAGCGGCCGCATCCTAAGAAAACTTCCTTTTCTAGCCCATGCCCTATATATTCAAGTAAGATGATATTATTTTATAAAAATCATAAAATACATAAATAGCCCTATGTGTGAGCTTGACTTTTACTCAGTGATAACTATAATTTTTCCCATTTTTAATTTTGGTACATGTTACAAAAAATAAGCATAAACAAAGCATTCATATGCAATAGCAAATAAAAAAAATCAATTAGGTTAGTAACATAGAATCATAGAACTGGAAGAGACTGGGGCGTTGGTTCTTACCTGATAGGCCCCTTCTCTAGGCAAGTGGAGACAGGAGTCATGCATGGGTTAACTCAGCCAGAACCAATAGGACTGAGTCTACTAAATGATGTCATCGTCTCTGAGGAGTGTCCTCCTGCTTTCTTGACGAAGACAATAGGTATGCGATAGTCAACTGCTCTCATCCCTCTATGTTTAGGTGACCCCCAAAAGTCCCTCCGCGACCTAGGCCAGTCCCCAGAAGGGTGGGGGTGGCTGCTGTCTCTACCTGCCTAGAGAAGGGGTATATCAGGTAAGAACCAACGCCCCATTCTCCAAAGTTGGTGGAGACAGCAGCCATGTGTGGAACATACCAAAGCTGTACCTGTCCCCAGGTGGGAATGTGTCTGGCTTAGGCGCTTGAGGGGAGCACTTGCTGAAGCACATGTCCAAAGGCTGCATCGGCTGATGCATATCTATCCACCTTGTAGTGGCAAATAAATGGCTTTGGAGTAGTCCAAGTGGTCGCCCGGCAGATTTCCTCCACCGAGGCCTGCGTGGACCACGAAGCCAACGTTGCAATGCTGAGGTGTGAGATGATGCGTTAGATAAGCACGTGATACAGCTGATCTAATCCAGTGCCCAATCATTGATGAAGATGCCTTAAGGCCTTTATTAGTAGGGTGGAAACAGACAAAAATGGCCTTGGGGCGTCTGAAGCTGACTGTCTTGTCCACATATATTTTAAGGGCACGACGCATGACTAGTATGTGCCACTTGTGTTCGAGGGCATAAGTTGGCCTGGGAATAAATTTGGAAGGGTCAGATCTTGAGACCGATGGAAAGCCAAATTTACTTTGGGGATAAAGATAGGGTCAATTTGAAGGACCATTCATTCCGGGTGGTACACGCACAGATCAGATCTGAGGGAAAGAGCCGCCAATTCTGAAACTCTGAGCCGACGTGATGACTACCAGAAAAAACGTCTTCAGTATGAGATGCAGCAATGAGGCAGATCTAAGCGGTTCAAATGATGGTTCTGTGAGGAATTCAAGGACTTTGGAGAGATCCCATGAGAGGAAGTGATGGGTGATGGGGGCTGAGATTAGACGCACCCCTAATGAAGCGTCTGGCATGTGGATGCAAGGAAAGAAGTTCTTCATGATGTAGAGAGGAAAGGGCCGCCATCTGCCGCCGTAGGGTGTTAGGTGAAAGTCCCCTGTTGAGACTCTGCTGCAAGAACTCTAGGACCTAGGAGACTGAGGCCTCGAGGGTGGTAATAGATCGAGAGAGGCACCAGGTTGTGAACGTTTGTCATGTTGACTCATAAATTCTATTAGTGTATAGTGCCTGCATAGACAAACCTCAGGAAACGTCTGTGATGTTTGTGAATGGGGACGTGGAGATAGGCCTCTGTGAGGTCCACCAAGGTGAGGAGATCGTTTTTGCGCATTCTCTAGGATGGATAGGAGAGAGTGCATTTTGAATCTCCGTTATCTTATGAACTGGTTGAGAAATTTGAGATCGAGGATTGTTCTCCAGCTCCCCGAAGACTTTGCATGATAAATAGACGAGTAAAAACCCCGCCTCACCTGGCCTGGAGACACAGCTTGAATAGCCAGAATGTGAAGCAGATGATGAATGGCCTGTTCCACCAGGAGCCTTTTGTGAGGATCCCTGGAGATCGGGCATGTGACAAAGTGGTTCGGAGGATTGGAGTGCAAGTACAAGATTAGACCGAATCTGATGGTGGACCTGAGCCACGCATTGTTGGTGATGTCGTTTCAACAATCTGTGAAGGCTGTAAGACGTCCCCCGATAGGGAGATCCTCCAGGCAGTCACTTCTGCCTCTTGAAGGACTTATTGGAAGAGTTCCTGAAGGATTTCCTGGAGGTAAACCTCTAGTTATTTCTGTTGGATCAGTTAGAGAAGGAGGGACCCTGTGTGGGAGAGGCCTGACATTGGGGACAGGAATTGGAGAAACCCCCGTCCTGCCCCCTAAAGGGCAGCCTATGGTAGAAAGAGTGTCCGCATCTCTCCTGCTTCTTAGTGGCAACCTGGAGGACTTTCTATTTATCTTTGATTCCACTAAGAGGGGCTGTAGTGGGGGACCAAAGAGGAGGATAGAAGAATAGGCTGAGGAGGCAAGTTTCCACTTTGCAAGGGCTGCCACCTGCCATTGTGAGACGAGACAGAGGAAGCAATGGATTTTGACGCGAAACGGGCAGCATCTAAAGATGCATCTGCAGTGTATTCCAGGGCCACCTTAAGTTTGTTAATGCCCCTGTGAGCCCTGGAATCTCTAGGGGGAATTCTCTCTTGAAGCTGTCTAAGCCATAGGAGGGCAGAGCGGCTAAAGAAGGAGGATGAAGTTGCAGCATGAACAGCCCAAGCTGCGGCCTGATGTGCCTTAACAAGAGTCTGTTCAAACCTTTTGTCCTCCGGGTGAAGAGCCTCCTCAGGAGAAGCTGAGGCCGCATTAGGAGAGGACAAGATCAAAACAGGTAAATCAATGGAGGGTACCTCAAGAGTTTTGGCGAGGTCAGGACCAACATTGTAGAAGTGCTTGTCCAAGGGGGAGGGGAGGGCCTGTACCTGGAGACACCCACTGGTTCTGAACCACATCTATGAAGAGTCTGGGCGAGGGAATCATCTTCTTTTCCACCTTGGGCTGGATGAAGAGGGGATCAGTGGTGTCCGTCTTGTTCGTCTCTGTGCGCTGAGAAGTCTTGGGTGGAGGGATGCCAGCAATCTTCTTTGCCTTAAAGAGGAGAGACCAGAAGATAGCAGGTTTAAACAGACGAATAAACGGGTGGATCTGGAGGGAGACCTTCATCCTCAGAAAGATCCGAATCTCGGGCAGGGCGTTCCTCCTCTCCAAAAACAGAAGGTTGGTTGGAGGTACCAGGGAGATCATACGAGGAAGAAGCCAAAAGGTCACCATTCCTGTGTCTGGAACTTGTGGAAGAAGAGGACCTGCGTGGGGTAGAATGGTTAGAAGACTTCTGTTTTAAGACCCACAGCTATGCCTCTTTCAATTGCATTGGATATGATAGTAGCCATGTCAGGTGGGTAAGGTAGAGACCTGCATGGAGGAGAGACATCCTCCTGGGACAAGAGTTTTCCGTCTGGAGTAAGACTTCTGTCACCCTCCGACTCCTCCCCATTGCAGACCTGGTCGCCTGTGGCCCTGGCCTTCTGCGGCTGGATAATAGAAGTTGCAGGGAATAAATCATCTTCTGAATCCGATGATAAGTCGGGAGGAGGGCTGGGTTCCACAGGCCTTTGGGCCTGGAAAGGATGGGGCACTATGTGCTTGGTTTTATTCCTGGCCTTTCTAGGAGGAGCTTACGTGGCAGTATTCCCTCCGTCTGAAGGGGCGGTATTTGTAGCCCTGCGAGTAGGCTGAGAAACCTTAGCAGAGGGCTCATTGGAAGGAGCCAGTGGGGCAGGCCAGCGCCTATGCGCAGCGGAAATGGGGAGGCAGTTGAAGCATTCTGGACCTGGACAGGTGGAGGAACCTGCGGATCTTGGGCTGGAGAAGACGCCATAGCAGTACTATGACCTTGCTGACCGAAAGGAGAAATCAAAATGGCCACTGGGAGGATTCGTGCCTAAACAAAATGGCCACTAAGGCTACAGAGCCTATGGGCCAGGCACCACAAGGCTGAGGCCGCGGTATCCAGCAGGCGATAACTGGCCCTTGGAGAGACTGTGGAAGCGGTGGAGACTTCAGCGGTGCTCTCTGAGGAGGTAGCAGTGCTTGCGGTGTTTGTGGTGGTGACAGCCTGTGGCGACAGTTGGTGGTGATGAAATCCACCCTTGCAGTGGCGACGCAGGAAACTAGGTCGCTGGGGCATCCGTGAGTCCTCAATAGCGGGTGATGCCAGGGAGCGCTGAGAAGAAGGAGCCTCTAAATAGCCATGGAGAGCAAGGAGGCTGCGAGCCTCAGAAAGAGCTCTCGTGGCGGTGCCTTCTGTCAGAGCCCTGAAGGGCTATTTGAAAGCCTTCACTCCCTGAGGAGCTGTCCTCCATGATACTTGTCTTTTATTTTCTTTCTTTCTTTCTTTTTTCTTTTTTGGTAATTTGGAGACAGGAATCCTTCCGAATTAATTCTCTTTGAAAAAAGGCCAATTAGAATAATTTTTAAAAAGGAATTTAGAGTAGTAAGTTGAGGAGAGAGCAGTTAGCACAGCCAGTCCTGATCAAACTGAGTCTAAAAATGCGGGAGGACACTCCTCAGAGACGATGACATTATTTAGTAGACTCAGTCCTATTGGTTCTGGCTGAGCTAACCCATGCATGGCTGCTGTCTCCACCAAGAATTTGGAGAATTTGGATGTCTAATATAATGCCCTGCCCTTGGGAGAAGTCCTTATTCTATCAATGATTGTCCTATCTTTTCTAGAGAATCTCCAGCAATAGACATTGATAACTTTGGAGGTAAACTGTTCCCAATTGATTAATTGTTCTTATTGTCAGGAAATTTCTTCTTAATTCCAGATAGAATTTCCCTGTAACAAATTTCCACCAATTGGTTCTTTCCTGCCTTCAGGTGCTTTGAAGAATAAATCAATCCACCTTTTTCCTGTGACTCTCTTCAAGTGTTGGAAGACATCTATGATGTCACCCTTAAGCCTTCCCTTTGTCAGGCTAAACCAGTGGTTCCAATCTTCGAGCTTGGTGGTGGCCCAGTAGGTGGGGGGAGAGAGATGGGAGGGTTCTTTGTGAGTGGCAGGCATCTGAGCACGCCCGGCTCCATTTGTATATGTGGCAGGCACGTGCACCCATTGCTTGCACAAGTGGAGCTTTGCTGTGCCTACCATTCAAGTGCCTACCAATTACACAAGTGGATTGGCATGGGCGCATTTGCATAGGCATAATTGCCCACTGCTTGAGTCCAGTCCAGTTCCAAGCGGGCTGCAGCCCAGTAATAGGCCAGAGATTGGGGACTCCTGGGCTAAATATATCTAGTTTCCTTAGCCATTGTTGAAGAGCACTGGGCCCAAGGCATAACTCTGAGGTATCCAACTGCTTATGCTGCAGAAATTCCATTGGAACTGTTTCTATTTTAATGGAATTTGTACATTTACATTTATGTAATGCTTGTAATATTTCATATTGTGTCTTAAATAACTCTTCAATTCTTTTTATATAGTGAATTTATAAACTTTTATTCTGGCACTTAACATTTTTCTTTCCTTCTAGTCCCCTAATGTTATAATGGCAACTTTCCTCCAAGCTTTATCACTTGCAGTGGACAAGCAATTTGAAGAACGAGCAAAGCTTTCAGACTGTGTTTGATGTTCTCATTCCTACTCTGTTTTGTGGTAGTTTTATTTACATACATTCTTACTTTGTTTTTCTATCTACCTACTGAGATTGCCAATTAAAAACCATGTGTTTTTAACCTGAAGATCAGTTCAGACTTTCTTTTTTTAACTATTGCATGTACAATAAATTACCTCCATATATTCAAAGGTTTGATTTTGTTTGGGTTGTCAAGATGCCATGTATTGTTAGGGGAAGTAACTTAAAAGCAATTCCAAGTTATTATTCCCAATGATTTTGAGACATTCTTGGAGTTGGAATGCCTATAATTTATATCATGTTTGTATTATTTCTCTGAACAAGATGACTAACTTTTATATCTCTTGTAAAAAATAAAGATGGTGTGTAGTGAAAATCTTATCTTTCAGTACATTAAGACTAACTAGGCAATCATTAATAATAAATAAGAATCATTTTTTTGTATGTGTTTGTTTTGCTTCTCATCTAAGAAGCTTCTTCTGTTCAGAACTAAAGAAATTTCTTGGGTGAGAAATGAAAAGTTTTCAAAGAAAAAACCCAAGCAAGTTCTGTTGTCTTTTTAAAAAAGGATCTTTGGGATATGCTATTTAAGGCTACTGTTCGATTTAAAACACATTGAAAACTACATGTTAATAGTGGCAGAGATGTTTTTTTGTATAATATATGCATGAGTATAGGCCAGACCAATCTAAAAAGAAACTATCTCACAGAATATCTGTTACTTGCCTTTTTACCTACAATTTAATATGTATTTATTTAATTCAGTTCTAATAAGCAAAAACAGTTTAATACATTAACCAAATAGCATTGGCAATGCCCTAAAATAAAACAAATCAATACAAATTAGAGGCTGAAGCACTTCTGAGCCGAGGTTTCAAGTAGATTGTATGAATGATAAAGCTTTAAAGATATGTATTAGTAACTACAATTAAAAATGCTATTGAGGCTCTTTTTATTTTAAGAAGATTGAAGAGTTTTTAGTTCAGAAGGATTGAACACTGAAGGAACAGTACATAATAGAATAAGCATTGGTTACTCACCTGATACGCCCCTTTTCCAAATGGTGGAGACATCATCCAGACATGGGTATTCCAGCCAGTATCCAATAGGACTGGGTCTACCAAATTGACAAATTCCACCCTCCGTGCTAGCTTCTGCCAGCTTAGACGAAGGAAGAATAATGGTAGACTGCTGTGTCACTTACAGATTAAAATGTGATCTCTCCTTCTTAACATAAAAAACAAAGATTAGTCCGAACAAAATACTCCCTGGGTGGGGCTGGATGATGTCTCCACCATTTGGAGAAGGGGCGTATCAGGTGAGTAACCAACGCCCATTCTCCCAGTAGGTGGAAACGTCATCCAGACATGGGACATGGAACGGAGTAAGGACTTAAGAATCCTGTTGAGCCACCACCTGCTGCAATACTTGCTGTCCGAAAGCTGCATCTGCCGACACATACCTGTCTACCCAGTAGTGACAGATAAATGGTGTTGCCGTTGTCCATGTAGCTGCCCTGCAGATCTCCTCCAAGGGGGCCTGAGAGTACCAAGCAACTGAAGTGGCAGTGCTGCGTCTGCAGTGTGCAGTGATTTGTGTTGGAATCGGAAGAGATAAGGCGATATATGCCCTGGAAATAGCTGAGCGAACCCAACGTCCAATGTATGTAGAAGAAGCTTTGGACCCCTTCTTACCTCCAGGTTGGAAACGTACAAAGAGAGATTCTGACAGTCTGAATTCCGCCGTGCATTTAATGTACACAGGCAAAGCCCTATGCATATCCAGATTGTGCCATTTGTGTTCCATCCAATGTACTGGATCGGGACAAAAGTCTGGAACACCAGTTCTTGTGCCCTATGAAATACGGAATTTACCTTTGGTACAAATGTAGGATCCAGACAGAGGACAACCTTCTCTAGATGAAATATGCATAAGTCCTGTCTGGTAGACAATGCAGCAATATCAGAAACCCTTCTGGCCGTAGTGACTGCAACAAGAAATACAACCTTGATTGTCAGTGGTACAGAGATGCTGAATGCAGAGGTTCAAACAAAGCCCCTGTTAATGCCTCCAAGACCTTGTCAATGTCACAAGAAGGAAACCTATGTATTGTAGGAGGCTTGAGATTGGTAGCACCCCTTAGAAACCTGCCAAGAGGCTTATGCGAAAATGGCTTGGAAGAATCTATGGACAGGACCGAGGACAAGGCCACCACTTGATGACATAGCGTATTTGGGGATAGTCCCTTGTCAAGTCCCAACTGAAGGAACAGAAGTACATTAGGTATGGAGGTCTGCAATGGAGGAATTCGTTGTATCTGACACCAGGAAGAGAATTGAGTCCAAGTGGCATCATAAATTCAATTAGTGGATGCACGCCTGGCTGTCTGTATAGTTCTTATTACATCATGGGACAAATTAACTGCTGCCAATGCCTCCCACTCAATCTTCAAGTGGTGAGACGAAGCCAGGCTAGATCTGGGTGTTGGAGAGAACCTTGTAGAAGAGACTGGAACTGAGGAAGCTGCCATTGAGGACCCACTGACTGGTTAATCAAGTCCGCAAACCAAGGCCTATGTGGCCAATGGGGCGCTATAAGAATAAGTTCTGCTTCCTCTATCAACATTTTTCTGATTACTCGTTGATCCAGTGGAATTGGAGGGAACGCATACAGAAGACCCCGCGGCCAACTGCATCTGAGCGCGTCGGTGCCCTCCGCCCCCACAGTTGTGTAACATGTGACGTACCTGGGGAGTTGATGGTTGTTCTGCGTCGCAAACAAATCCAGAATTGGGCAACCGTACCTCTCCGAGAGTTGTTGGAAAACACTGTGATAAAGGCTCCATTCCACCGGTGTTCATTCGGCTGAGGCTGTCCGCCTGCAGATTGCTAACGCCTGAGATATGTTTTAGGCGAATTGAAAGTATATGTATCTCCACCCATGCCACTAACTGGAATGCTAAAGTCATTAGAGTCTTTGACCATGTTACCCCGTGCCTGTTTATATGTGCCTTTGTGGTGGTATTATCTGTTAGGATTAAGTACATGCACATTGGTGACTATTTCCCTAAAATGGTGTAGCGCAAGATACACTGCTCATAGCTTTAACCAGTTTATACTGTTCTTTAGATCGGACTGGGACCAAAATCCCTGAGCTACGTGATCTTGAATGTGAGCTCCCCACCCCAGAAGACTTGCGTCAATAGTGAGGACCAGTCTTTGAGGATCCCTGAATAGGGTGGCCTGCGACAGCGCTGGGGACATCCACCAATGTAGAGAATTCCTTACCTCCGGAGTGAGACATACATGAACTGTCAAACAGCTGCTGTCAGACCGCTGGTAGGGAAACAGAAGCCACTGTAGATGACTGTGGAAGCGAGTCCATGGAACAATGTGAAAACACGACACCATCTTCCCTAGTAGTTGCAACAATTGTAGTAGTTGAACCTTGTGCTGCAGCCGTATGTCTGTAACTAACCTGTGAGTGTTCATTCTTCGCTCCGGAGACAGAAAAACCTTCCTTATATTTGTGTCTATAACAGCCCCTAGATGTGTGAGGCGAGTGGCAGGAGTTAAATGACTCTTGTTGGTATTAACCAGGAACCCATTATCCTGGAGCACCTGCAGAGTGGTCTGAATGTCCCNGCCCAATCATTGATGAAGATGCCTTAAGGCCTTTATTAGTAGGGTGGAAACAGACAAAAATGGCCTTGGGGCGTCTGAAGCTGACTGTCTTGTCCACATATATTTTAAGGGCACGACGCATGACTAGTATGTGCCACTTGTGTTCGAGGGCATAAGTTGGCCTGGGAATAAATTTGGAAGGGTCAGATCTTGAGACCGATGGAAAGCCAAATTTACTTTGGGGATAAAGATAGGGTCAATTTGAAGGACCATTCATTCCGGGTGGTACACGCACAGATCAGATCTGAGGGAAAGAGCCGCCAATTCTGAAACTCTGAGCCGACGTGATGACTACCAGAAAAAACGTCTTCAGTATGAGATGCAGCAATGAGGCAGATCTAAGCGGTTCAAATGATGGTTCTGTGAGGAATTCAAGGACTTTGGAGAGATCCCATGAGAGGAAGTGATGGGTGATGGGGGCTGAGATTAGACGCACCCCTAATGAAGCGTCTGGCATGTGGATGCAAGGAAAGAAGTTCTTCATGATGTAGAGAGGAAAGGGCCGCCATCTGCCGCCGTAGGGTGTTAGGTGAAAGTCCCCTGTTGAGACTCTGCTGCAAGAACTCTAGGACCTAGGAGACTGAGGCCTCGAGGGTGGTAATAGATCGAGAGAGGCACCAGGTTGTGAACGTTTGTCATGTTGACTCATAAATTCTATTAGTGTATAGTGCCTGCATAGACAAACCTCAGGAAACGTCTGTGATGTTTGTGAATGGGGACGTGGAGATAGGCCTCTGTGAGGTCCACCAAGGTGAGGAGATCGTTTTTGCGCATTCTCTAGGATGGATAGGAGAGAGTGCATTTTGAATCTCCGTTATCTTATGAACTGGTTGAGAAATTTGAGATCGAGGATTGTTCTCCAGCTCCCCGAAGACTTTGCATGATAAATAGACGAGTAAAAACCCCGCCTCACCTGGCCTGGAGACACAGCTTGAATAGCCAGAATGTGAAGCAGATGATGAATGGCCTGTTCCACCAGGAGCCTTTTGTGAGGATCCCTGGAGATCGGGCATGTGACAAAGTGGTTCGGAGGATTGGAGTGCAAGTACAAGATTAGACCGAATCTGATGGTGGACCTGAGCCACGCATTGTTGGTGATGTCGTTTCAACAATCTGTGAAGGCTGTAAGACGTCCCCCGATAGGGAGATCCTCCAGGCAGTCACTTCTGCCTCTTGAAGGACTTATTGGAAGAGTTCCTGAAGGATTTCCTGGAGGTAAACCTCTAGTTATTTCTGTTGGATCAGTTAGAGAAGGAGGGACCCTGTGTGGGAGAGGCCTGACATTGGGGACAGGAATTGGAGAAACCCCCGTCCTGCCCCCTAAAGGGCAGCCTATGGTAGAAAGAGTGTCCGCATCTCTCCTGCTTCTTAGTGGCA